AGCAAACTGAAGCTGTGAACAATCTCAATCTCTTCACCACCCATCCTGATGCTACCGATTGGTCTAGCGGTGAGAATCTTTGTCTTCTTGACATTGAGCCTCAGTCCATACTGAAGGCTGCAGTCCTTGACCCTCTGCTACACTAAGTGCATGAGGTCCTCCTCAGTTTCAGCGAGCAGGGTTGTGTCATCTGCATGACGCAGATTGATAGATCTTCCACCAATCCTAACAATTTTTAATAAGTCATTTAATAGCCAAATATTTAATTAACGTACTCTATCTAGACTTATTCAAGTGTACTATCAAATTACTAATAAATACTGAAACTAACAAAACATACTCTATTAGTGGGTCTTTAAGCAGCTCTGGAAACTCAGTAGTTAAGCACTTTAGGTTAACCAAAAGATGGGCAGTTCAAACCACTAGTAGCTCTGGGAGAATGATATGACACTCTGTTTCAGTAAGTATTACAGCCTTGCCTTGGAAACCCATAAAGGGCAATGCTACTCTGTTCTTTAGCTTAGCTATTAGTTGGAATTGGTTTAGTTTTTATCTTGCCATTTCAGCTTAGCAAAGTTATCAAAGAAGTACATCCTTTAATCAACTTGTTAGTCAACTTGTTACAACTTTTCATCACATTTTCAAGATTGTAAATCTTTACAGAAGCTTGTGTGTCTCATCATTTTCGCGTGGAGCAGCTGGTAGAAAGATATATAGGAAGCCATAGAAAGTAATATGACTTGGGTCAGGAGATTAATCTTGGTTTTTAAACTGAACATTCTTGTTCTTCATCACCTTAGGAGGTTGTAACAGCAGATTTGTTCAATAGGACATGTTTGGATTGGAAGAAGATTCATCAACAATTATGCTATGCAGATGACACAACCTTGCTTGTTGAAAATGAAGAGGACCTGAAGCATTTGCTGCAAAAGGTCAAGGACTGTAGTCTTCAATATGGATTGAAGCTCAACATCAAGAAGAGAAAAATTCTCACCACTGGGCCTACTGGCAGCACCATATTAGATAGAGAAGAGATTAAGGTTGTTAACAATTACAGATTGCTCAGATCCACAATCAACACTCTTAACAACAGCAGTTAGAAAATCAAAATAATTGAATTGCATTGCATTGCAAATTGAATTGCATTGGGAAAACCTGCTGTTATGGACCTCTCCAGAGTGCTGAAGAGCAATGATGTCAGTCTAGATACAAAGGTGTGCCTAATCCAGGCCATGGTCTTCTCAATTACATGTCATGCTTCAGAAAGTTGGACAATGGCTAAGGATGACAGAAGAAAAATAGTGCCTTCTAGTTGTGGTGCTGGAGAAGAATCTTAAACATACCATGGATTGCCAAGAAAACAAAAAGGTCTGTCTTGGAGAGGGTGAAACCAAGTCTCTCCTTGGAGGCTAGGATTTTGAAGCTCCACCTCACTTACTTTTGGCACTTGACCAGGAGAGATTGGTCCACATTGTAGAAGGACATCATGCTTGGAAGAGTGGATGAACAGTGCAGGAGAGGGAGATCCAGGATGAGATGGGTTGATACAGTAATTGGGGCGGTGGAGGTTGGTGTGTCAGAGTTAGTGAGACTGGCTCAGGACAGGGAAAGGTTCAGAGCTGCTGTACATTGGGTCACTATATATTGCAGGCATCTCAGTGGTACATAAAAACAGTAACATACTATGACAGGTTTGGAAGCAGGAGTGGCATCTACTTCATAAATAACATACCTCAGAAGCTATCAACTTTGATAAAACTCGATAGTTGTGGAGGGGCTTCAGGCCTTTTTGTTCATAGGGTCACTATGAGTCATACTCGACTTGAAGGCAATCAACAACAACTATGAGTGTTGACTCTTGTCATTAAGTGCTATCAAGTTGAATATGACTTATTGTGACCCTATAAACAGTGGATCCTGGTCCTATCCTCTACCATCTTCACATGTCCTGACACACTAGAGCCCTTTGAAGCAGTCATCATGTCAATCCACCAGTCAAGGGTCTTCCTCTCCTTTGCCAACCCTCCACCGTTCTAGGCAGCATGTCCTTCTCCAAGTAATAGCTCCTCCTAGCAAGAGGCCCAAAGTATGTGAAGCAAAGCCTCATCATCCTTGCTTCCAACAGCCGCACCCTCTCCAAGACATATTTATTTGTTCTTTTGGCAGTCCTTGGGATGTTCAGCACTCTTGTCCAACACAATAACTCAAAGGCATCAATTCTTCTGTCATCCCTGGTCATTGTCCAGCTCTCACATGCATAGCAAGTGATCAGAAAAAAACTGGTGCACCTTAGTCCTCAAACTGACATCATAACTCCACAATAATTTGGAGAAGTCCCTAACTGTAGGCTTTCCCAATGCAGTGTGGTCTCCTTATTTCCTGCATGCTGTTACCAAGGATGTTAACTGTGCATCCCACTAAGATGAAGTTGTTAACAGTTTCCTTTTCTTCTCCATCCACCATGATGTTGTCTATCAGTCCAGTGGTAAGAATCTTTGTTTTCTTGACATTGAAGGTTGCATTCCTTGATCTTCTGCAATAAGTGTTTTTCAAGTCCTCCTCACTTTCAGCAAGCAAGATTGTGTCATATGCATAATGCAGGTTATTCATGAGTCTCCCTCTGATCTTAATGCCACATTTCCCTTCATGGAGTCCAGCTTCTTGAATAATTTGCTTTTCAAATAATTGCTGACTGTGAATCCACGTAAAATGGTATTGGTGACAACATCAATCTTTTCTATATAATGATTCGCCTATTGGTCCAGTGTTGAGTGTTCTTGTTTTATTCATCATGAGGTGTAATTCATATTGAAGGTTATAATCTTTGATCTTCTTCAGTAAGTATTTCATGTTTTCTGGTGTAATGTCTGGTTGAGTAAGCTATATAATGAAAGCTGTTGATGTTATTACACATCCCTAGGGACACTGATATTTTAAAGTCTGTAAAATTAAGGGAAAATAATTTTTCAGTTGAATTTGGTTTATCTTGTATTTCATTCACTATGGTGAGTAAATATAAAAAAGATAAAGCATACAAGCAAAAGACAAGGGAATATGAGAGATGGTTCTCCATTAACTGTGGCAATCTTCATAGGATAATAGGCTATTCAACCATACTCAGCCTGACAGACTGTCTCCAAGATGTTACTTGGCAAAACTTGTAAACAATATCTACTTAACACATTAACAATATCCATTTAGATATGCAACATAAAAATATTTATCATTTAAAAAGACTGATACAAATATTAATTGTAGAATTTGAAATAACAAAAATTATTCCAATAGCAAGGCTAAAATATTTAGCTTGGAGTGCTGAAACATTTTTCTATCTAAGGGCTTACATGTAAAGGGTATTTTCCTAATTCACTAAGAAGGAACTGAATATGTCACAACTCTTGTGTTCTGAAAAGATGTAATAAATTTAAAAATACCACACATATATACTCACTGAACCCCATGGTCCTACTTGCCAGGAAGCACATTTACGGAGCTCGCATAGTTTCACAGATTCAGGTTTGATATTTGGATCACAGAAGCTTTCACTCAAATGAGCGTCATCCTGCTGACACCAAACCTCCCGCTGCTTTGTTCCTTGCCCACATGTAACAAGGCACTGTGACAAGAATACAATTAATCATTATATTCAGTATTAGCAACCTAAATGCCTCATATAATAATAAACAATAATGAGATTATCAAAATACAGTTTAAGGCTATCCCTATGTAGTTTTTCCCCCTCATGTCTCCAGAAATTACCAGAATTCAGCTGGTAATACTGGCCTCTCCAACACTGTGCTTCCTTTCTTTGTAGTAGCACTTACACTAGAAAAGGAGCTGCTATAAAACTAACCGCAGAGTAAGAGTATACCTATCACAAATTGTTGTGGACATTTGAGCTTTCTTATGAAAATGGTTACAGATTCCAAAACTAAATGCTGTCAAACCAATTCTGACTTGCAGTTACCCTATAGGATAGATTAGAAATGCTCCAATAAATCTCCATGCCTGTAAATCTTTAAAAAAGAAAAATGACTTTTGTGTTTGAACCATTAACCTTTGGATGAGCAGTCAAGTGCTTTAACCACTGCAAAACTAGGGCTCTCGGTCATAGATGAACCAAATCCACTGCTGTTGAGTAAACTGTGACTCATAGTAAACCTCTTCACTGGGTTCCTGAGGCTGTAAATTTTTACAGGAAAGGACTGTCACCTTTCTCCTGAAAAGCAGCTAGTAGATTCCAACCACTGACCTTCCAGTTAGTAGTTGGACATATTATATACTGTATCAGCAAGGTTCCTTAAGTTATACACCAGTTAATCTCATTGTTAGTCAGATACAATAAACAGTGTAAGACAAGTTATTGTCAACTTTTTGTTTTGACAATAAAATTATTTCTGTAATGTAAACTTAATTTTTTATTATAGAAAGCCTTGTATCGCAAAGCTTTCCCACACAAACGTCACAGTAGCTCTAAGTCTCATGTGTTTATTCTTACCTCACTCCACTCACTAGTGGCCCAACTAGGACAGGAAAATTCATTGCATTTCTCTACTGTTAAGCGGGGAACCATGTGGCATTCCCCATCAGCAAGGCGGTGGCCACGATTATTCATGCAGTATGACTCTCGAGATCTTTCACCTTGTCCACAACTTCTGGAACACTGATTTTAAAAAGAAAGAAGAAAAAGTAAGAACACAAAAATAGCAAATATGAAAAACACCACATTTTTTGCAAAACTATACTTTAGAATGAAAAACTATATGTAAGAATTTAATTGGGGAAAACCCTCAAACTTATTGCCGTCAAGTTGGAACCAACACATTCCTGACCCTCCATGGGGATTTTGAAGCTGTAAATTGCACAGAAAGAGATTGCTCACTTCTCTTCCTCAAAGTTGTTGGTAGATTTGAACTGCCTAAAAGGCTCTCCACCTTTGGTTTAACATCAAAACTCTCTATGGATTATATCACCAGAACTTCCTTAATTAGAAAAAGAGAGCAATTTTCCCTAGACAATAGTTTTTATTTTCACCTGAGACCATTCTGTATAATGCCACCTTCTTAAGACACAGTCACCCTGGCAGGGTTCTCGAAGAGAAGGTTTACGTTGGTCACCACAATAGTGGTCCTCTACTGGAATATTCTGACCCCCATGAATGGAATACTTCATGCAACGAACATCCAAGGACCTATATCCTTGACCACAATGGGATGAACATTCACTTTTTCCAATGACGTGCCACCTAGAAAAATAGAAAATATTAGGAAGTAAGCCAATTAACTCAAGTATAAATGACAGAGAAGCAACTTTCAGATATTTTACATGTGATTGAGTAAGAAATGGAAATTCTTAGAAATAATATAATCCCAAACTTTCGTTTTACAGATAGAAAAATGAGACTCAGAGAAATTACCTACTCCAATGAAACTCAGACTTGACATTTTACGTCCATCAGAAGTCTCACTAGACATAAAAATATCACTTTCTCCAAAAATATAAAATTAAAAAAACACACCACAACTCGAAAAAACCCAGATAGGGTCTGGTTAAAATGCAGATTGATTAGTCTCACTCTGGCATTTAGATTCTGGAAGATGTCCTAGGAACCCCTTGCTTACCCAGAAATCTTTGAAAATAATTGTTTTATACCAGTATTATCCAAGTACATAGAGGCTGACTTAGAAGAGTATATGCCTGACCTCCAGTCAGGGAGTGTTTCACTATACATCCCTCCTATCGTGCTTTGATTTTAGATGTGAGAATGTTTAGGGATCTGGCTAAATCAATAAAGATGAAGTCTTTAAAAACTGGTCAACAGTTTTCATAAAGCAAACCACACTTTGCCATAATATAATATAAACCATAATTATATATAATTATATTTACATAATTATATATCTTAAATATGTAATGTAATTAAAATAATAATTTATATAATCTAAATTTAGGCTTATTTCCAGGGAAAATTCTTAGCCTAACAGGGACCTCTCCAAAGTACTGAAGAGCAATGGTGTCTCTCTGGAGACTAAGGCGTGTCTGATACAGGCCATGGTCTTCGCAATCACTTGTTATGTGTCAAAGAGTTGGACAATGATTAGGGAGGATAGAAGGAGAATTGATGCCTTTGGGCTGTGGTGCTGGAGAAGAGTATTGAGGGTACCATGGACTGTTAAGAAAACGTTCATTTTCTCATCCTGGAGAGGGTTAAACCGGGCTGCTCCTTGGAGGCAAGGATTCTGAGGCTTCGTCTGACATACTTTGGATATGTTGTAAGGAGGGATAGGTCCTTGGAAAAGGACATCATGCTTGGGAGGGTGGAGGGACAGTGCAGGAGGGAAGACCCTCTATGAAGTGGATTGATTCAGTGACTGGGGTAATCAGGATGGGTGCATTGGAAGCAGTGCGACTGGCACAGGACAGAGCAGAGTTCAGGGCCATTGTACATAGGGTAGCTATGAGTCGCAAGCAACTCGAAGGCACATAACAACAACAACAATTAACTCAATTGCAGTCTAGCAACCTATCAGATCCTGTGATCAGAGTGGTAAATAGCATAGAATTCAAAGAGTTTTTATCCATTCTCAATAGCGTCTCAAGCATTTTGCTGTGTTTCATGTCACTGTAATGCATGGATATGACTTATACAGGCAGTTCTACCATTATACGTTCATTCTGTACCAATGCTCCTAAGTAACATAACAATTACAAGGAAATTACCATTTTTGCTGAGTGAAGTGTTCTAGAAGTCTTCTGAATGGTAAATGTCGGGATTACAAGGCCAAAAATAGCAATATGGTTTTTGTCTTTAGCTATATTCCCAGATCAAACAAAAAACACAAATGACAAGACCTTCAGGTTAAAAGTGTGTCCTCCTCTGCCATGACCAAGGGTTCTGTTTCTTAATACTGAATAGACAAAATCCTGGCAAGTTATCAGGGAAATCAACCTAGTGATTGTGCAATCCTCAAACTCAGAAGTTCAGATTCATGGCTTCACCGGGAATGACAGATCATTCCACAAAATTTATTGGTTCAGATCATGATATAAGACCATGAGTTTTCAGATTCATGCTTAAGTGTGTTTAAGAGTATTCTTTTAGAGAAAAGCATTTGCTTCCCTTTACTACATGAAACACTGAGGTTGCATATTGATATTCAGTAAATATGAGGAATAAAGTTAAATAAATTACTGCTTTTTACCTAATGAAGTAATGAGCCTGGAATTTTATATTGGAATGGCAGAGAAGAAGCAGTAATTAAAAATTTATAATTCCCTACAAGGCATAGTTTACATGTTATCTTACATATTGATTAGAACTTTGTTGTGTACCATTGAGTTGGAACTAACCAATAGCTGACTCTCCAGTAGGTTTTCGAGAGACAGTTTATAATCCAGGAGGAGATTGTCCATCCTTCTCGGAGCAGCTGGTGGATTTGAACTACGTGCCTTTGAGATTGCAGCACAATTTCTTACTACTAGACCACCAGAGCTCCCTTAATAGGGCTACATTAGAGAGTGGTTACATTTTACAGTATTTTCTTTTACCTTAGTTCACAATCTGTATTACACTTTTCCGTCACAAACGAAGGAGGAGGTAAGTGTTCACATCTTTTGTCAGGGACTACCTTACGATCACTTGTACGTATGCAGGCAACTTCTCTTCTGCGAAGACCTTTGCCAAAGTCAATTAAAAAGTCAAAGTCATAGGTGGAAGTTCCATAATTATTTAATTGTGCTAGAAGGATTCAGCTTAGCAAGCAAAAAAAAAAAATCCAAATATCATACAGTACTATCATAGTCATCTAATCAGGAGTTACTTCAACATCTGGGGTGAACTCTGAAAGAGTGAGGAATTTGCTTAGTGAAGAGAAATAAAGGAGGTGGTACAAAGGTGGAGGATAAGTAAATTCTTTGTAGTTGAACGGAATGGTTAGTGGATAAGAGTGAAGAGAGTGGCCAGAGATAATATTGATGCTACTTGGCATTGTTGTTCCTTGTTTTATGCTTCTCCCTTACCTGTAAGAGAATTATACAGCCCTGCTTACTACAATACTAGAATAAGTTCCTGTGGAAGAAATATGCTTCTCTGACCACTAACATCAGGCCTTTTTATTGTCATAAACTTACGTCATCTGATCATAAGGAGATGTGGCCTATTCTAGTTCCAATAAGAAACTTGAAAAGCTTCTACATGCTTCTACTTTCTCTCCTTCCCTTCTCAAATAAAATGCCGACAGAACAGCATTTTCCAAATGGAGGTATATTTTTTTCAACTTATAACCTTGAATGAAAGAAAAAAACCCGAACAAACCCAAAATGCTAGGTTTGCAGATTCCAAGCTAGAATAAGGGTACAGCCAATTAATTAGCAGTCAAAACAAAACAAAACAAAACTTTGTGCTTAAGACATTGAGTTTTGGCAGGTGGTTGTTTGCAGCATAACCACAGCAAAAGCAAACTAAGAGAAATGGTTATAAAGGATCAGAGAAGTCTGAAATTTGCAATTTCAGCAACAGAGAGACAAGAAAGTGATTAAGCAGTTGGCTGTAAGATCAAAATGTGTGCCACTTGGTGCTTTCAGGTACCAAACACGAACATTTATGTTATCTCTGCTTCTTCCTAGATGCTTTCTGAAACAACAATAAGGAATTTTTTAAAAAGGCATAAAACTAAAGAACAAAGAGACTAAGAAGGGAAACACAGTTGGCAAGGAAAGGAAATTCTGAATTTGAGAAGTAAACGGGAGTCACTACTAGACAGTGCCAAGGAAGCTGAAACCTAAGCCTGCGGAAGAGGAAAGTAAATAAGAAACAAACCATTCATGCCACAGTATCCCAGAAAAGCCCAGGAATCGAAAACACCAGGTTCCTCGGAAGGGGTGAATGTGTGAGGGAGAGACCTGAAAAAACGGAGAATTGGTTGAAAAGTATTTGTGAGGAACAGTTAGATCCTACCTTCTAGTCAAGAGCAGCCCTGATAAAAACCGACTCTTAGTCACAGGCATAATTTTAACGCTACTAGCAGCCACGTTACAAGAGGTAGAACTACATAGGTGAGATTAATTTTTAAAACATTTCTTTTTGGTTCGAAATGCCTAAAATATAATCATTTCCATCTCCTATCAATATAAAAAAAGGAATTGACATAGTTTATCTATATTAAGATATCAGGTATGTTGTATTCTTTTTTAATATGCAGTTTTAAACATGTGGTATTTTCATATGTAAAGGGCATTTCAATAGACTAGGCATACATGGCCAGGGTCAACCATCCTGGACTGCATAACACTAGAGAATCTCAAGGAGGCAGCACAACACATAGCTGAAGGAAGTGGGGAAGGCACTACTGAACACTGGGTGATTAGGTGAAAGTCTCCATAGGAAATTATGAGATCCACTTCACACCTGGGGCTCCAACTGTCTCTGGTTCCAAACTAGCATATATAGTTCCCTTGCCTTTTTACTGCCCAACAGAAGATGGGACGACTCCTCTCTCAAGTGACTGGCTAGCCCAAGAAAAAAGATCAAATAACAATCACATCGGGAACTTCTTTTGCAATGTCATATGAAAGAGCTACTTAAAGATTATGGTTCTATAACGAATCCCTACTCAACTTGCTGCCTCACACAGGATTTGAATCAGCATGCTAAGATTCTGTAATAAGAGCAAAGAGCAAAGGCTTAGAAGATATTTCAGGAAAGTCTTTAAGACAAAAGGAAACAGTAAACAAAAGCAAAATACAACTCAGAAGAAACATACCATTTAGGAAACAGAAGAGAACGTATAGGCTATAATTAATATTGTCAGATACACAGGAAATACTGCATCAATGAAATAAAAGCAAGATATAATGACAACAACATTCAGAACACGGTAGCAGAAGAAATTAGAGTTTAAGTGGTTATTGTAGGGGGTTAAACACACAAACAATTTAAGTTTCAGAAAGAACAGGAAAAAATTATTATGAAGATAAAAACAAAGGAATAATGTAACAGAATTTCTGAAAATAATGTTTGCAAATTAAAATGGCATTCAAAGTACTGAGTAAAATAGATGGAAAAACAAGCAAGCAAGCAAAAGGCACTCACACTGGGAATTTCAGTTCACACGGCTTAAGAGAGGATCCACCACACTTCCAGAATTGAAAAGGCACATGCAAGCATAGGAAAACAGAAATTTTTACAAGCCACAACACAGAGCTTTCACAATTCTAAAAAGAAAAAATAAAGTTATTTTCTCCTTTGGATTCTCAAATCAACTAAAGGAACCACCAAGTATAAGAATATAATGTCATTTTTCTGATATGAATTGTTTAAAAATCATCTCTCTTTTCTCAGAAAAGTACTGAAGCACATGTCACACTCAACAGGGGAATCTAATTGAAAGCAGAAGAAAGGCAAAGGGAATGCCCAGATGACAACGAAAGGAGATTTCAAGATAAAAATTATATGCTGGGCTCAGGAAGCACTATGAACAAAGTGGAGTTAGAGAAAAGGGGACTCTAGAGACAAGGGTTCCAAAAAAAGGGGAAGACGAATAGATTAGAACTTGAAAATATTAAGAGAAAATATACTGTTCTGACAAATAGGTTGAAGACTAGTGTCTTTAGGTACATAAAAACACAAGTAAACAAATAAAACTGAAGAAATGTAACTTTAGAGAAAACAAAAATTCCACATGAAATGGAATGTAATCACAGGGTACTATAATGCCAACAAAATTAAGGGAATAGTTCCAGTTCCCCTGCATATGACTGTTTAAAAGACCTATCTTGGTCATATTGCCATGTCTTGTCTAAACTTCCACCAGTCTTGTCATTCTTTACTGTTTTCCTGGTCTTTTCATCCCCCTACCCCACCCCTGTGTTTTCTGCTCTCTCAGCTCTCCCTGCATCACAAGTGACCAGCTGTGATACTAGCTTTCAGTCTTAAAGTCTTCATTCTTTTATGTGAGTATATGCAAAGGCCTGTCAAAGCCAAGTCTCTTCTTCAATATCACACAGTTCATTTCTCCCGCCTTGGAAGTTCCCCCTCATCAGCCCGTCTTCATTAAATAATCTACTATAATCTCTCTCCACTGAGATAGTGACAAGACAGGTAATAGAACTACCAGCTCCAATGTAAACATTCTGAACAGCATCACCTTGACTTAGAAAGCCCTGCCTTTCCCTGTACAGGACACCCTAGTTTCTTTAGAGCCTTGAATTTGGTTTCTTACACTGTCTTTCCCATTAACATCAACTGAGTCCTGCCTGTAATCATCTACCCTTCTGTCAGAAGTTTCCAAATAGTTCTGAGATTCCTCTGCTTCAAGTAATTGCAGATCTAATTCCCAAACCGACGCACTGTTCACCATCACAACTAGTTTTCCATTTTAAAGAAAATTTTCTCTATCTTCAAGTTCAAATCTCACAAATTCCTCCCTCAACATTGTCTATAATGTTCTATGCAAACTTTTAAAGAATCTATTCATGTCTCTACTCCATTTCCAAAACTTAACCTCAATAGAAGGAGTTTAATAACCTGTAACAAAGATGGCCCCTTAATAGTTCTCACTGACGAGGACATAGATGTTAATTTAAAGACAAAATTAAACCCCCAAACCAAACCCACTGCCATCAAGTCTAACTCATGGTGTCTCTGTCTTAGATTTCAGAGGCTGTAAGTCTTAGTGAGAGTAGACTGTCTCATCCTTCTCTCATGGAGCAGTTGGTGAATTCAAACTACTTACACTTAACTGACTCTGCCAGCAAGTATCAATAATTACAGATTACACAAAAGTCTAATTTTTCATAATCTTTCCCTTGAAAATCTCCTTGATTTTCCATTTTTCTACTATGCTCTTTTTAGTTATTCATATTATCAGTACAAATGCAATCCTTGTGGTTAGGAAATGGAAAGAAAGCAATGAAAAAATGTTTGAAACCTTAACATAGCGTGTGGAGGGTGGTAGATAAGAGAGTAATATTGCTCTGGGAAATAATATACCAATTAGAGAAACATCTGTGACTGTGAAGAAGTGAAATAATGTGAGGGGAAGGATATAAAGGATTCTGGAAAAAATAGTGATTAGAAAAAAAAAAAAAGATAAATAAACCAAACTGGAAACTCAAACAGGAAGATAAGTGGAGAGAAAAGTAAGAAGGAGAGAAACACAGAAAATGCTGTTATGCCTCTGTGTGGCTCTATGTGAACAGTGGGGAGACGAATCAGGGAAGGTAGACTCAAATGTACCTAAAAAGACACTAACATGCACAAACTTTTGTCTCTTTTATTCAAGGTCACTATACCTTGACACATTGTGGAACAGTCTTGCCACGGTCCATGTGGATCCCATGTAAACACTTCACTTCTTATTCCTTGAGGGATGTTGTTGTTAGGGATACTGAAGGAATAATGTATATCAGGGTTGTGTAATTTACCTACACATAAAATCTGAATAAAAATATAAGGGAGCATACAATTAATGGACTAAAAATACTAACTTAAATAGATGTTAATAGAAAAACAATACAAACTACCCCTAACTTACTGCTTTTGATTCAATTCTGACTCAGTGAAGCTTTGAGAACAGACTACAACTGCTCAATTATGTTTCTGAGACTAACAAGAATAAACTGTCTTATCTTTCTCCACACAGTGGCTTGTGGGTTTGAACTACCAATTTTCTGATTGCTGTTGTTATGTGCCATCGATTCACTTGCGACTCATAGCGACCCTATGTACAAGAGCTCTAAATCCTGCTCTACCCTGTGCCAATCTCATTGTCTCTAACACACCTCTCATCGAGGGTCTTCCTTTCCTGTGCTATCCCTCCACTCTCCAAAACATGATGTCCCTCTCCAAGGACAGTCCTTCCTTATAATATGTCCAAAGTATGTCAGACCAAGCTTCAGAATCCTTAACTCCAAGGAGTAACCTGGCTTCACTCTCTCCAGGACAAACCTGTTTGTTCTCCTAGCAGTCCATGGTATATTCAACACTCTTCTCTAGCACCACAGCTTAAAGGTATCAATTATCTTTCTACCATCCCTAGTCACTGTCCAGCTCTCTACCACATAGCACACAAATGCAAAAACTATGGCCCGGATCAGGTGCACCTTAGTCTGCAGCCTGACGTCATTGCTCTTCAGTACTCTGGAGGGGTCCCTGACCGGTGATTTTCCCCATGCAATTTGTCTCTTGACTAGAGGTCCAATATTTAACCTACTCTGCTGCAGTGCTCTTTGATACATAAAGCCCATATTCTAATATCATCTTAAATGTAGGAATCAATGCTAAACAGTTCAGCATCTTATTTTACTGATATCAGTCTTACAAATGTATACTGAGCAAGAAGCTGCACTACAGTCCCAGAGGTGAGCAGTTCCAATACACCAGATGCTCTGCTGGAGGAGGAACAATCTCCTCC